AGTTATGTTAAGCCAAATTTACCGCAACAGCATTCAGGGTTATGAAAAGAACTTCATAACAGAAAATAATTGAAACAGATGACAATGGGGGTTGTAGAACAGCAATCAAAACTGCTCAAACACAATAGGCACCACCGTAGTGGTTGTTGATGTTAGGCTCATCAAATAATGGCAGTCAAAAAAATTCCTTTTTTTAGGCTCAGTAAATTTAAAGGGGCTCAATTGTCAAAAAGGGAATAAAAATATTTTTTTTTCATCGATGATGTATACGCATAAATATATGTGGAGAAGAAAAAAATGTTAAAATTTCAGGAAGAAAAAAAAATTGTTTTGATTTCTCTTTCGTTTCGTTCTTTGTGAAACTTAGACTGTTCACTGACAGTTACTGTGTCAACTCTTTGCAGAAAGAAGATATTTGGCAGTTTTAAGGGGGGGAGGAGTGACTAAAGCAGAAGGATATGAAATGTTGGTTTAGGCGCAATGAAGAAAGTTGGTAGTTTGCTTAATGAGAAAAGCAAAAAATATATATATAAAAGTTAAATCTTTTTTTCACTTTTTTTCCACATTTTTTTTTTCTTCTTTTTGCTTTCTCTAATTTCTTTTTTTGAAAAAGATGTTAATAAATGATAGACAGTTGTGGTGGTCTAAATAGCTTTTTTAGCTCAACAAAAAAAAATTGACGAAAAAAAAGTTTTAGCATTGAATATAACCAAACCATAATTGTTCAAAATTGTTCTCTGTTTGACAAACTGTCAAACCATTTCAATTTGATTAGTGTAAATAAAACTAAAATGGGTTTTTTTTTCAACATTTTTCTTCCTCTATATGCTGGCAAACAGTACAGTATCTGATGCTTATTAAATTGAGGTGGTAATGCCAACACATATTTTGATACTTTTTGTCAACACCCCGTAATAATTGTGCCAAACTATAGAAGAGGAAGTGAAAAGGGAAATTTGAAGCGAAAGAAATGTTTGTTTGTTCGATGATTAATAATGTCTCATCCGGCGGACTCAGAAGTAAATTAGTAGATTCTTATCGTCGAATCAACGCCGATAATTTATATGACAAACGATGAATAGTAAAGAAGTGACATTGTAAAACTGCATTTCCATTTTTGTGTTAGCCAATTTATATGGTTACAGAATCAACGATGCTATAAATTATTTGCATTGATGAAGATATTTAGGAATCTTTTTCTGACTGCTACTAGATTATATGCAATCAGTGCATAGTGGTATTTTAGCCAAATATCTTTGATGGGCATATAATTTCTTGTTGATTAAAACAAACCTTTCAAGTATTCACTAATTACCACTGAGAAATATGCTATAGCAATGATTGATATACTGTAGAATTTTGAAGATTTAATCTGCAAATCAAAGACGGGAAGAGATGAAGAGAAGAAAAAAGCTAAAGTTGAAATTTTTCAAACAGTGTACTATAGCTGAATGAAAAGACTTTAGTTTTGTAATTTTAAAATAAACCAGAGACCAGCATGCAACACGTAATTGTAAATTTTAGTTACGACGATATTATTGCTGGCGCTCCATTTTATACAGCCTTTGGAGTCAAGGAGAATGCTAAAACACATGAAAAGAAACCGAAATATGAAATAGGCAAAGTCGTGATCTTCTTCCAGAGATCTGGAGTAAGATAAATTTTTTTTCATTTCCCATCATTGCATTGTTTAGCCAACTTTTAACCTACAGTTTTTGCTGCTTCAAAGATTATAAAATATTATGTTCACTGCAGAACTGCTGCGTCTTCTTCAGATTTGTTGCTTAGATTTTGAGCTGAGGTGATAATTAGCTGTAAACCGCTTTATAATCTGATTTGAAAACTATTTTAGAGAAAATTTACTACTCAAACGATCTATGGTGACAAGGACTGGTCACAGTTTGGTTATTCAATTGCGGCAGTCGGTGATTTAAATCAAGACAAGTACAATGGTAAGCCTCTTTTCACTCTACTGTTTAATAAGTAAATTTGGAGCAAGCGTTATCACCGAAACATTTTGAGTGAAAAATTTTTGACGAATAGAATGATTTTTGACGAATAGAATGAAATAGAATAACAATAAAAAGTTAAAGCTTTGAAACTAGGACAGAAGCAGTCCTCTAAAGTCAGTCTGTGAATATCATTGCACTTTGTAAACGATCTTAAGAAATCAAGAAGTGGTTAGTTAAGTTTTAGTATAAGCGCCATAAGAATGTAAAAAAATGATTTATCCAAAATCCACCAACGGCTGAGTAACTGAATGATGAATAGATTTTGAAGTCTTCTGGAGGGTTATGGGAAATTCGTTTTACTTTTGATCAAGGAAATTTTAACGGAGTACGAGCAAAATAAATTTGTAATTACAGACTTTGTTGTTGGAGCACCATACGGAGGTTCAGATGGTGGTGGAGCTATATATGTGTTTCATGGTGGTAAAGATGGAGTTCGAGAAAAACCAACCCAAGTGATTGAAGGTCGAAGTATACGCAGAGACATTCGGAGCTTTGGCTTTGCAGTTGCTGGCGGAAAAGATATTGATGGAAACCAGTATCCAGGTATACCACTTTTAATTTTAAGATCTACGTTTACCACGTACTCGAGACATATTTAATCACTTTGTTTTCCGAAGTTTTTTCTTCTATTTTTTAAACCTATACTAACGTTTAAAAGTGGTTCAGGAAGCAGTTGGGTGCAAATGCTCAACCTTAAATTAATTAATAATTTCTAAAGTTCTGTTTTCCAAAACAACAGATATTGCCGTTGGTGCGTACAAGTCAGGACACGCTGTTATACTTAGAACGAAGCCTGTAGTTCGAGTCAAGGGTGATGTTCATCTTGTTGCTAATTCAGTAAATTTGGAACATAAAAACTGCACTACTTCACTTGGAAGGATGGCTTGGTAATTCAATTGAGAAATTTAATTTTTAGTGATAACAGTAAATGTTGCACGAAATTAAACTGAAAAATGTTCAGCCACTAAAATGTGGAGCAGTCAAAAACTTTTCAGTGTCGAAATGGATTACAACTTGGCGATTGAAGATCGACCAAAATCACCGAAGCAAGTTGAACTGAAAATTACTGCTCAAGTAGATGCTAAAATGCCATCAAAACCACGTGCATTTTTCATCAGCTCGGATTTAGTAAGTTTTCGGAAGATTTTAACAAGTGTTTACTTCTTCATTTAATTTAATGATATGAAGCCTTTTTACTTTTTAAGGGTTCATCATTCCGACCTCACGAAAAAGCGGTTTCTAAAACACATCCAGATATTATTGAGGGTACAGTTCTTCTAAAGAAACAAGACATCTTACAAAAGAAGCTACGAATATATGTTCCGGTAAAAATTTTCTATGAAACAAGTAACGCTTTCTGAAATTAATACACAGATAAGCCTTGTTTGTCACATACTCCTGCAATTATCAAATCTAACCTTATAAGGTTACACCTTTCTTTCAAGTTACACCTTACTTTTTCATCAATCTGTTACAGGATTCAATTCGCGATAAATTGACACCAATCTCCGTTACTCTAAACTACACACTAATTGAAAGTTTTACGAACAGACCAAGCGAGTTGGATGCTGCCCTTGATACCACGCTTCCAACAACTTACTCTAGAGAGGTAGCACAGTTATTGGTTAAATAAGTCTTAGTTTATCGTCTAGTATAAAAATCTAAGATGGAAATCTCGAAAAACTGTTCGTCTAATATCGCTTTTCTGAAAAAATCTACGGAAACTGAAAAATTATAGAGCTATAATCTCTTTGTTTTTTTCAATTGATTTGACTGGTTTACTGCCATACTAATTAGTTGTTTCTGAGCCACTTAGAAAAAAAATTAGACTCCTTTCAACAGCGGTAGTAATAATCGTAACTGTGATAGAAATATTAATAGTAATAGTAACAGTGATGATAATAACAATAATCCGCAACTAATTTCTAGCTTAAAATCGATAAAAACTGTGGGAGTGATGAGAAGTGCATCCCAGATCTCAGCCTTTCTGTTATTCCGTAAGTGGTGACTTAATTTTCTTTTCTTTCTTTCTTTATTTTTTTGAGGTGAGACTTCACTCACAGATCTGCAGGAGTAAAGATAAGTTTACAATCGGTGGTGTCGATCAAAAAGTTGTGCTCAATGTCACTGTCGATAATAGAGGAGAAGATGCCTATGAGTCACAGTTCTTCATAACGATACCACCAGAATTTGAGTATGGTGGCATTGTTAATTACGATGGAAAGGTAACGGCCAATGAACGATTTATTTTTTAAACAAATGTCAACTTGTAGAAATCTGAATCACTACTTCTTTTTTTTCGCTTGTTTAGAAAGACTAGTTTGTTTAGAGCAGAATTCCATGTGACAAGGTAGAAGCTCACGAGAATACACAAGAATATATTTTCCGATGTGATCTTGGAAACCCTATACCAGCAAACAAAAAAGTAAAATTTGGAGTTAACTTGACTGCTGGTAATGCTAGTTATGCAACGGATGAAATTGTCATTAAGACGCTCGTCAACAGGTACATTTTTTTTACCCTTCCTGAGCAGATATTCGGTCACTGATGCTCTAGATATATTGTCCAGAATCTGACTAGAAATACAAAATCAAATGATTTCCAAACTTCAGTACAAACGAAGAAGCGAGGGGACGTGACTATGACAATGCAGTAAATGTGACGCTGGGATTAGAGACAAAAGCTCAGTTGATATTGAGTAGTAAATCAGAGCCTCCAGAGGTAGTCTATTCAATTCGAAATATGACATTAGTCGCAGATGCTAACGCTGAATACGACGTTAGGGCCAAATTCGACTCCGACATCGGTCCACTTGTTACACACGTGTTCCAAGTGAGGATTTAAACAGCATAGACATAAATTTGTGCATTTGAACATGACTTGCTAATGCAGTTATGAAAGTCAACATGATTGTTTTTTTTTCGGTCTACAACAGCGGTCCAAGTTCTATTCGAAAAGCAAGACTTGATATTATCTGGCCAAGTCATTTTAGTGATGAAAAACATTTGCTTTATTTAATTGACGCTCCAGAAGCTGATCCTCCTCATGATGTTGAATGTCGTATGGAGCCGATTGAAAACATGAATCCTGAAAGTCTTCTGGTTAGTTCGCAGAGTATGAATTTCAGCCTGTTATAACATATAGTAGAAGTTTAAATCTTCCTATGATTGCAATCACAGACCGACTTGATATTGGTGGTTACAGCCAAGCCAGGGTTACTGGGAAGCCCGTGCGGCGCAGCAGTCGGTACCAAATAACAACGGGAAACAGCATCAGCGCGAATCAGTTAAAGAACAGTACTCAGATTACGCAAAGCAGCGTAAAGTTCGGAACTTGGGAGATGAGTTTCTGGACGACAGGATATCAAAGAGGTCAAACCCTGAGTACGCGGAAAAATTGAGTAAATTTAAAAAAGAGCTAAACCAAAATGTGAATAAAGGAAAACAGTATCGAGGAGTCGCCTTCCCATACACTGGCAACTTAAGTCGTACAAGTATTGTAAGTCCTTCTATGCAGTACTCCTAACTTCTCCATTATATTTTTAACTGTTGACACAGCTTTCCGTCATTCTTCTAGAAGGAAAGTCCGTGACATTATGAGTCTCATTCACTACCTCACCACTAAACTGTTGATAAAAGCATCGAAACTCGCTGTCTGTAGTTTACAAAAATCTTAAAGTATAAACTGTTTCCTAAACAGTAATTTACGATAAATACAAAAAAAACATTTAGATGACTTCATTATTTATTTGCCTCGCTCAGTCAAAAAACAATCTGCAGTTCCATTTGACAATTACAGATGTGTCCCCCGAAAGACTGTACCCATATTTATTGCGATATCAGAAACCTAAACGCCATGCAGTCAGTGGTAATTTACGTTTACTCAAGGCTGGTACTAAACACAGCCATTGAGACTTTTACTGATGTTGAGAAGTCCTACGAAGTTTCATCGCTAGCTATAGCAGAAGTTGTGGAGATGCCGTTCAAAACTGGATACAAACAACTAAAACAAATGCTTGCAGTAAGCCTTTATTTTGTTAGACAATTGAATTTTCCGTACAACCCCATCATTAAATGTTGAAGTTTTACAAAAATGGCCCCCAGCAAGATTTGTTTGACTAAGCGTCAGAATCTGTTCTTTGATAAGTGAAAATGGATGTTCGCCAGTTGCCAAATAACGGTCTTTGAGCGAATGCTTTCGTTCAAGTAAATTAAGTTTAGGTGACAACAATCCTCAACCCGACAGATCCAGAGAAGTCTAAAGAGGGCATTCCGTGGTGGTTGATACTGCTCGCTATTTTGATTGGCCTTCTCATTCTTTTGCTATTAATACTCTGTTTGTGGAGGGTAAGTAGTTCTTCGTAACTGTTTACATTGTCATCTAGCACGCACTTGCGGACTTACTAAATATCAAAAAACCGCAGCTTCTTTATACTCAGTACATTTTCAGTGCGGATTTTTCAAAAGGAAACGACCGCCTGCAGAACATGCCACCTATAATACTGGTGCCCGGAACCAAGATGCGTTTGCCGATAGCCAAATGAGGTACGCACAGCCATATATGTACAATGAGAACAAGCATGGTGCTAGATTATAGGTGTCAAGAGAAGCTGTTACCGCGCCTATCAGCCAGTGCAGCTTAATCAGCTCAAAGTACTAAAACGGATTTCAGAAATGCGACAGAAAGCTCCCAAAAACTGAGTACTTTGCTCGACATTTACCAAAGATTGATCTTATTCTCTTTTTGTGGCCTTAAAGGTTAGACATTTGGAAGCTTCTGTTGCACATCTACTTGCTCAGTTTAATTTGTGTAATATAAGAACTTTCGCAGTTTACTTGCAAATTTTGGGCTATTAGTAATTGTGTGCCTTCACTTTTCAAACATTTAGCAAAATATTATTCAAATATTACTTCCACGCTGAACACTGCGTACTAATGCTCAAGTTCTTTTTAAAATCGTAAACACTATGGTTAAAATTTGCTAATTTTAACTATTTCAGTGGAACGCATTAGCCTCCTTTAATCCAATTTTTTCTGACCTGTTTTTTACAGACTGTTTCTGTTGTTCTTTCCACTGCCATCTGTAAAAAAACTTGGTTGCCTGCAAAAAAATTGTGCATTATTTCTAACAAATCAATCTGTTTTTCGTCATTCTTGCTTTAAAAATGTAACCTCTCATCGCTTGCCATCTCATGTGCCACAGCACTTTCAATTTGCCCTAGTAAACTCTATAACGACAATGTTATTAAAATACTATAGGATCGACTCGTAAACCTCTGACGTACGTATTTAGCGAGCAACTTAATGCCAGAGGACATGAATGTCTGTGTAATCATGATCCTGATGAATTCCTCTGGCGACGTGACACTGTTTAGCTGTTTCTCCCTGCCTCAGATTCTAATAGTTATGGCCTTTTGTTTGTTCAATGTTGTTGACTAGTCCTCATTAAAATAATTGCAGCTTTAATAAAAAATTCTATACTTACTCCCCGGAGAAGCAGAACCCAACGTAGCGAAAAAAGCTAGTTGGCCAGCCGAAAAAATGATTAACCTTCAAGTCATCATCATGCATCAAGCCAACTACCAAGACAGAAAAAAATAACGCTTCAAAATCAATTAGAAGCATGTAACCCTACACTGTAAATTGCCGCTAAGGCCTTCCTCAAATTCTGCATCAACTCTTGCATCCAAGTCTTCTTATTCAGAGAGAAAGCAGACATCTCATACGCCATCGACAGCTTCAACGTCCCTTACCCTGACGCCACCGTGAGTCGGCTTACCTGTTGTCAAGGATCTTTTCTCAAACCCCACGAGATCTCTCATCCATCACCCATGCGGCTCCAATTCAAAAAGAAAACTGACAAAGATGCTTCGGGAAATCTCACCTCTCAAAAGCAACCGGAAAAGATAGCTGCTAAGAATAATTGTCGGATGGCGGAGATCAGACCAACAAAAAGTGGCGTAAAATCAAATGCACTTGAGCTTTCAGTATTAAGAAAAAAAAAA